ATTATTATTACATTGTTCAGGAAGTCTGTATCAAAGTAGTTGTTCGTATTCAAGTGCCCTTGAAGTAGCTTGCAGTTTCACATAAAAAGACAACACTTGAAGTCTGTGGTTAGAGTTTATAAATAACAACAGAAAGTCAAAGGAACAGTGTTTTCTACCTCAGTTTTCTCATCTCAGCATCTCTGTGTGTTTCCAGGTTCTTGGGGCAGGTGTATGGGCAGCGAGTGTGGCCCAGGTGGCAGCCAAAGCCGGGCTGTCTGGTGTGCCCATGTGGATGGCTGGACGACGCTTCACACCAACTGTGACCAGAGCCAACGACCGTCCAATCAGAGGAACTGTTTCCATGTGTGTGACTGGCACAAAGACCTTTATGGATGGGAACTCGGTTCCTGGAACCTGTGTGTTCCAGTGTCAACGAGGACCTTCGTGGCCTCACGCCTGTTTATGTGCAGTGGGGGTGAAGAGGGTATTCAGACCCGGGACGTGGGCTGCACACTGAAGTCAGATGGATCTCCGGCTGAGGATTCTATCTGTGAGTATTTCGAACCCAGACCTCGTCAGGAGCAGGCGTGTTTGATCCCCTGCCCTCAGGACTGCGTGGTGTCAGAATATTCACCCTGGACGTCCTGCTCCAAGACATGTGGGACAGGACTCAGGAACAGAGTCCGCAGTGTTCTGGTTCCTCCACTTTTCGGAGGCACCATTTGCCCCAATCTGACGGAGTTTCAGTCCTGCAGACCAGGACCCTGCACCGGTCCAGAGGGCATGTACAGTCTCAGGGTCGGACCGTGGAATCCCTGTGTTCTTCCGCAGACTCGGACAACGCGACAAGCCAAACGCAGGAAGGGCAAAGGACAGGGTCTGAGAGACAGAGGTGGAGTCAAAGATCCAGAGACCAGGGAACTGATCCAAAAGAAACGCACCAGGAACCGCCTTAACCGTCAGGAGAGTCCATTCTGGGACATCCAGGTGGGATACCAAACCCGCGACGTGATCTGCACACACAGGAATGGGAGCGGGGTGACACGAAGGTGAGTGGTGATATTTTTTATGTTAATGTGACATTTTAGTAAATACTGTGTATTCTTTTTTTTACAAAGCCATACACGGACACAAACCATGGTTGAATTTATTCCTACCCGAAGGAGAAATTGTTAATAATTAGCTTATTTGCAGTACCAAATGTACTAAAAGCCCCAAAATGAAGAAGGATGATTTAAGGAAACCAAAACCATCAGCCTTCACAAAGACAAAGCCCAGAATTGGCTTAAGGTTAGCTTAAAAGCTAAAATAAAAAACAAATAGTAAACGAAAGCTCTTTGCTCTCTAAACGAGAGATTCTCAGTTTGCTCAGTTACTTTGCTCTTAAACTGATCACATGCTACCTGCTTTGGTCTTGGACTGTAAAAAAAAAAATCAACATTTCCTGGTATAGGTACACTCTCCCCTTCTAAACCAGGGTGTCAAACTCATTTTGGTTCAGGAGCCCCTTGCTGCCTAATCAGATGTGAAGTGGGCCGGACCAGTAGAATCATAACATAATTAACTATAAGTAACAATAAGTGCATGTTTTTCCAAAATTTGTTTCCATGGAAATGAGTACAAATTTATTAGAAAATATTCATATTGAATGAAGAGTTTGTGCGTTCTTTCAAGTGGGCCAGATTTAACCCCCTGGTTTGGACCCACGGGCCATATGTTTGACACCTCTGTTCTAAACACTACATGCGAGACTCCCATGGCTTGATGGCAGTGATTTGGTTCATTGATTTCTCTTGGGAACGTTTTTCTCTTCAACCACTCTTGGACACATTGTTCATTTAGGTCAGACTGTGTTATTTATTGTTCCACGGTTGTTGAAAAGCTCTGAAGTTTGACATCGGGGGCATCAGTGATCAGCGTTTCTGCGGACCACACTTGATCATAAAAACGTATCGTTTTGCATTTGTACAAGGAGTCAGACACAAGAATAAAAGGCGAAGAAAGATGAAAGAATTCCACACAGACTCATCAGCTGAGTCTCAGATTGATCTGAAGTCCGGGAACGATTTTCTTTTCCCATTTCCGTCTCACATCAAACATCCTCTGTTGATAGTTGCGCTTCATTGCTCTGACAGCTCCGCTGTGACAGCGTCGACGACGGCAGCGGCGGATAAACATCCTCCTCTAACGTGTCAACTCTTGACAGCGAGAAGAGAAACTTTGAAGAGGACAAATTTGGCATCGTGTTCGTCAGTTAGAGACACACAGAAACCGGGACGAGTGAGCCGGAAGATCAAAGATTTAGAAGAACACGACTCCAAACAAAACAAAACACAGATGGGAAATAGTCAAGACAAGAACATCTGTACAAACTAAATAAAGCAACAAAGAGATAATGAAAGTGATCTTATCGGTACATTATTGGTATTACATCGCCCCTGATACTAGTACTAAGGAGTATCCTTTCAAAACGGTGGATATAAAGCCACACGGTTTCCTGTTTGATGTGATAAATGGCTGAAGTTTGGGGTTTCCACCCTGACAGAGTAGGATCCCAGAAGTGATTCTCCCCCATTGAGACTGTCTGCTATTGCCGATAAAGGTTTTCCTTCCATTTTTAGGCCTCGAATTCAGCTCTATGCCCAGGTGTCGTTATATATTGTACCGTATTAAGGAACTTTACCGGGAACAAGGTAGGCATAAAATGTGTCTGTTTAATGGAATCCTGATGAAAAAGACTTTCACTGCTCACCAGGCGGTCACCATAACACAGATCTGAAGGCCGATCACACAGCGGCGCTGTACGTCTGCTGTAGGGAGCCACGATTTTGCACACTGCAGTTTGTTGTTGTGGAATGGTCCTGCTGATGAATCATTTTTCTCCTGGTCGGTGTATTGACTTCTATAGAATATTTCAAGCACAGTAAAGGTTGCATTTTTTTAAAAAATCGTTTCTGTAACATGTATGGCACCAGTGAGGCAAGATGGAATGATCAAATGTTTTCTCCTTTGCCTGGTCCTTTAATCGGCTTACTGTTCTGGACCAAAATCAATGTGGAATAATTTTGCATAGCACCATGGGGTTGTTGCTCCATTTACTACTGACTCCTTTAGTTAACTGTTATATGCCTTCAGTGTTTAGGATCCTGATTAGAAATCCATAATCGACAACAATTAACTAAACGAGGCAACAGTAAAGCAGCCGCTCCTCGGATGTCTCCGCCGGCATTGATTCTGTCCGTGAATGTTGGAGCTGAGTTGGAGATTTACACTCTGCATGTCAGACAATGATCACAGTCCTGAGATGTTATGGACTTCATTGAATGTAAATGATAGGTGTAGTGATAGGTGTCAGAACTCACTCGTATTCATCCAAACAACTCTTGTTTCCGTGTAGTTTCCAGGCTACAGAGAGATTAGCTGGTAAGCTTTTGACCTTGTCATTGAGAAATAATAATAAGAAGAAAATGTTGTCTTGTAAAATCTTCGCTGGAGTTATTGTGTGTAAATTATGCATGTTGTCATTGAGAAATAATAATAATAATAAGAAAATGTTGTCTTGTAAAATCTTCACTGGAGTTATTGTGTGTAAATTATGCATTCAGTGGATGACTGGGCTCAGAATCTATGAATAAGTGGCTCCAGTTTGCACTGAGAGTAAAAACCAAGTTTTCAAAAAATCTCTTCTCACCCTGATATTGTTAGTGTTTTTGTTATGATGTGAGTTCTGTCGGAGCAGATCAGCAGATCATCTGCCTCTATCTCACCCTGTCCCCTGACTAACTATAAAAAAAATCAAGTTTGTCACAGGGCAGCTGTTGATTAATCACAACTATCATTAATTATGATTAATCAAGGTACATTGTCATTCCTAAATATGACCAAAAAATCTGTATATTACTGAAACAGATAGACAAACAACAGCAGGTTGATATTGGAGGTTGGTTTTTATTTGTGACTAATCCAAATTGATTTGAACAGATTGGTGGATTTTAGTCATTTCTGTGCATCGTAACACATCGACGTTCTTTCAAAACCTTGAAATCATTGTACTCATGATTGATAATTGCTTTGGTCAAATAATAACCTATGTATGGACCGTGTGTCATTATCCGCTAGTGTTAAAATGCGTGAGTGCCCCCATCTCACCCGGTCTCCTGACTCCTCTTTTACAACATCCTCTAATGATCCACAGATCAATTAGATGGATTTGTTCCCATCTTCTTCTGTTGTTGTTGATCGCTTATTTATTTTTAAAGGCTTTTTGTTGGCTTTGGTGCAAAAAGTCTCTTTAGACTGCACAAAGACCCAAAAATGTATAATGTTAACTAGGGATGTCCGATAATATCGACAGGACCAATATTATTACACATATTATGTAATATCTGTAAGAATCGCTGTCGGTTTTTCCTCCGATAATGAAAACCCGATAACGCAATGCCTGGGTTTAGCCAAATGATCTGTGCCCTACAAATAGTTTTGGGGATCAACGGCTGTATATTATAGCGAGGGTCACTAGATGGCAGCATAGCCGCTCATTTAATTGCTCTCATATTCATCCAGTGGTTTGTACAGATAAATAAATAAATATTACCAGGCCTGTATCAGTATCGGTTAATATCGGAATCAGAAATTAAGTCTTTGAACAATATCGCCGTATCGGATATCAGCAAAAAGTTGATATGGGACATCCCTAATGTCCATCCGTACCATTTTTGGAATAATACAAGCCCGAGGTTGTTTTCTTTTTAAAATTAAAAACCAAATTGAACGGGGACATGAATAAGGAAATAAGTTCTAGAATAGCATCCCCAGGAATTCTCTCATCTGCTAGACAAATCTCCCGTCACTCCCGAATTACGGCCGTTCATTAGACCTCCTTGGCAGCGAGCAATCAGCAGTGACTAACATCAAATATTTTAGAGGGACCCTGGAAAGATGTCACTCAGAATTTTAAATATTCATCCTGGAC